GCAGCGCCGTGGCCGACGAGATCCGGCTGTCCCTCACCTGCCAGCGCCGTGTCAAGCACAAGCCCCAGCCCCCCGTGCTGGTGAAGACGGACGCCGTGATCAACATGCACACCTTCAACGACCGCCGGCTGCCCGGCAAGGACAACCTGACCTGCAACACCGGATTGGCACCCGTGTTCCCCTAGGGACCGGGACCGGGGAGGGGCGGGAGGGAAGGAACTGTGGCAGACGAGGCTGGATGCACTCTTAACTAGGGAAGAGAGGATTAAAGAAACAGAAAAAAAGAAAAAGAAAAAAAAGCCTGGTTTGTTCATTTCAAGAACAAGGCCTTTGCAACCCAGCTGCATCCATCACCACAGAGGAGCCACAGTTTCCAAGCACGGACAGCAATGTGGGTCTTGGGGTTTTTTGGTTTTGTTACTTTTCATTTCTGTTTTTTTTTAAAGCTTCAATCCTCCAGGCCTCATGGAATCCAACCACCACCCAGGAGTCTGATGTTTACACACTGAAAACACGAGGAGGTGAAGCAGAATTGAGCCAACCTGCCCCGGAGCGGGTGAGGAGGAGCCCCGAGCACGGCTCCCACAGCACGGCAATAAATAGGAACACTTGGTCAGGAATGAGCACCTGTTCCACACCGACACTCACAGCACATTTTGGATACACTGTCTGGGAAAAGGAGAGGCATCTGGGAAGCACTGGGATGGTCAAGGCTGTGCCTGCTCCTGAAGCAGCTCGTGGTGGCCCCTCACCCCGCGGCTGTCCTGGCTGTGGCCATCCAGGGCTGGATATCCACGTGGGAGCGTGGTGGGAGAAGGCAACACACGTTCCCCAGGTCAGCTGGGGAAGGAGAGCTGTCTGGAAGGGGTGACTGAGCCTGAACAGAGCCGAATTCCTGGCCAGGGAATACTGCATCTTCAAGTGACACCACGCCCCGTGCCGAGCCCAGGGTGACACTGTGATCTCCAGCCCCTCCTCTGCTCTTCCCACAGAGCTCAGGCTGTCCCACAGAGAGCGCAGGAAGCAGCTGAGCCCACGGGCTCTGGCAGTGCTGGGAGCAGAGCTGCTTCTGAGAGCCAAAAGCACCCATTTCCAAGGAACTCAGCAGTGCTGAGCCACAGCTCCAGCCCAGGAGGGGACTGTGGGGCTGGTTTAGGACTGAACGCTCTCCATGGCATCACGGACCTGAAGGAGTCTCAGCCTGGGGTGCCAGTGCTGGCCTGGGATGAGCAGCAATGCCAGTGCCAAGCCTGGTGTCCTCCTGCTCTGACCACAAACCGCTGCCCCTCGGGCAGCCTCTCCATGGGATTTAAGCAAACACACGCTAAAATGTTTTTAGAAAATCTTCCATGGACTGTCTTCTTATTTTCAGGTTGCTCGACCCAGAAGGTTGGTCCTGCAGATGAGTTTAGGCAGAATTACCAAAGACCCCTCTGCTGACCTAAAGTAATGCTCAAGTAAACCTCCCTCAGCTCCCGGGGGCCTGTGGGGGCCAGCAGGACACTCCAGGTTCACTCTCAAAGTTAAACAAATGGAAATGTCTCTGCCCGTGGTCACCCAGAATGTCACACGGTGATGCAAAGGTGCTTAAGAGCTCTGACTGAAACACTGCTGGTGTAGAAAACATGAACCTCCTTCCCCTGCACAGGCAAGGGGGACAGTGACCTGCAGGACCCCACCCGTGTGGAGGGCAGGCAGGGCAGGGGTGGAGCAGCCAGTGCCCAGCTCTGTGCCACGGCCACCGCAGGAACCGGCCACGGACTGACCCCGTCTGCCCTCCCCGAGCCACACGGCTCTTCTGGAGAGTTTACCCAGAGGAACAAACCTGTTTGTAGCTGATTTGGGATTTTTCCCCACCTGTTCCTGCCCGTGCTCAGTCGGGAAGGTTGTCTGAGCTGAGCAGAATTAGCAAATTAGCTCGAGGGGGGAGAGCTGCTCCCCCGCCCCAGCACAGAACACAGTTTGTCCTTGTTTTGCTTTTTCCCTGATGTAAAGAAGCAACAGAGTGACCCCAAACAAAACCAGGTGATTTGTCATACTTTGACTCAAGTGAAGATATGCAAAGAATTCAACGTTCATTTTCACCTTTTCACGCAAACCATGAAAAATTGGGGGTGAAAGCTGCCAACGCAGTGAGCACCAGATTCCTAACAGTTTGCTATTAGGAGGGCAGACTGAAGTGTGGGGCAGCTTCCCAAAGCTAAGGACATACTTTCTGTATTCCTTTGCAAATCCTAGGCTTGTCAGAGGAGTAGATTTCATGTTTTCCTTGAAGATTCCTAAGCTCTTAGAAAGAGATTTTTACAATTAAAGGATAGATTAAAACAAAGCCTGAAACTGGCTTTAAATGTCCAGAGAGTAAAACAGCATTCATTTTGCTTCTTGGCAGATTTTTTTAAAAATAAATAAATATCAGTAATACCACAAACCCCATTTATTCCTCTTTGACACCAGCCTGATTTGATTTGACTCACGGACGTCCCAGTGACAGGTGAGCATCTGGAATTACTGGTGTCACTGCCGGCCAGACCAAACCCTGCAGATGAGCCTTTTCCTTCCTGCCCTACACCCCTAAATCAGCCACGAACAGCAGCCAAATTCCTGCATCTACATTATGGTTTTCTGTTGAAATTTTGATCACTAAAGCATTTGACAAGCATGCCAAGGGAACGTTCTGCACCACCCAGAACAAGGGGAGCTGCCAGGCCCACCCTGCTCACTGACCTGAGGGGATGGGGTGGCCTCAGCCCTCAGCCCTCCTGTGGCCCTGGGGCAGCTCTCCCGGGAGGGGCCACTGAGCCCAGAGCCTCTCCCGTGCTCCCCGTGTGCTCCTCGTCCCGGGGCCCAAAGCCATATGTGTTAATCCCAGAGGAGAATGTGTTGGGAGACTTGGGAAGGGACAGACCCGATGACAAAGCCTCAAAGCCTTCTGCTGGTCTGTGACCCGGCTGGGACTAGTGATGACTCACATCTTACAACTCATCTGACTTCCAACGCTGCTTAACTCGGTTCCTTTCTTCACTTGGGCAGAGGGACTGGAAAAGTGAGAAGGAAATACAGAAAAATACAGAAATCCAGGAGGAAATACAGACAAAGCAGGTTTGGGCTATTGAACTGTATCTAAACTGTTGTCACCTTGGCTCACCATCCCCTCATCACTTGCTTTTTCCCTCCAGCTCTCCCGTGAGACAGAGCAGGGACAGCCAGCAGCTTTCCTGGGTGGATTTTCTGTTGGAGTCAACCAACAGCGTGTGCTGGGTCCGATGCCGAGGGGACAGACCCACAGAGAGACAGAATATGCAAAGGGGCACCAGCTCCATCTCTGGGCACCACTGCTCCCCTTCAGAGGGGCTGCTGGGAGCAGATTGGGCCGGGGGCCAGCACAGGGGGCCAGCACAGGGGGCCAGCACAGGGGGCTCTCAGAGGTCACAGCAAAGGGCCCCTGTGGATCTCAGTGGCTGTCACCCCCTGCTCACCCCAGGGTGCCCAGCACGGTGTGTGGGGCACGACAGTCCCTGGAGGTGCTCGGGGTTGGCAGGGCAGGAGCGTTCCCAGGCATCGGCATCTGCTCTGCACCTGACTTTGACATGTTTCTCAAAAAAAGATAAAAAAAATAATAATAAAAAAAAACAACGAAAAGAGTGGGAAAAAGGAAAAATGGTCTCCGTGACATTCAGGGGATTTTCCTTTGTGGACATGCAGAATTTCTATGAATATAGTTTTTTGTAAACATTTTGTAACAATTTTGGTTTCATAGTAACTGTGTTACTTGCTGATCATTCTAGGCTGATGTAAATACAATTTCCAAAAAATAAAAAAAAAGAAAAAATTCTGATTATTTTCCTTTTTAAGACACTGTGATATATCAAAGTGCACAGTTTGCTGTATGAAGTAATATGGTTTTAAATTTTAAATAAATAATTTCTAGAAAATAATGAAGCTTATGCCTGTTTATACTCAACACCTCCCTTCTTGTTCAAATTTTATCCCTAAACTCAGTGTTTAATGACACCCCCAATTTTATCAGCCATAAAAGCCAGTGATGAAAAAAGCAATTCCCAACTGAACCCCAACACCTGGGAATTGCTGCTGGTGCTGCTCCCCGAGGGGGTTGGGGCACAGTTGGAAGTGGTGACAACAGGCTGAGGCACAACCCACGGTGAGAGAGGGCAGAGGGGACGAAGCTCAGATGGCACAGCTCTCCCTGCCCTCGCACACCTACAGCAGTTTGATATCAGACGGGTAGTTAAGCCCAGATATTCCATAAGGAGCCATCCCCAGAACTCCCTCCCCCTGGGTTTGCCTGGGGGCTGCCTGAGCGCGAGAGCCCCGACCAGGACGCCGGGGCCATAAAAGCTCTGTTTACCTCTTCCTGCCATGCACGTCAAAAATCTTATTAGCCCGATAAAAGCTGAGGGCACCCTAAAGGCCAACGTTTATTAGTCTGAAATCTCTCTGACTCTGCTTTCTTGCACGAGGAACAGGGGAACGCCTGTGGTTCCGGGCTGGGAGCTGAGCTGTGCCCTTCCAGCCGGGAGAACAAACCCAGGGCAGAGGCACAGCCCGGGGGTGGCTCTGGGCTTCGGAGGCACAGCCCACCCTGCAACGGAGACAGAAAGGCAATTCCTTCCCATCTTCATTATTTTCAAGGGTCACCCTCAAAAATCTTTCTCATCTCTATTCACTTGAGCCCCCGGACAACTGCAGCTTTGAGGCTCCCGCCGAGGGGGGACCAGCAGAGCCCAGCCCAGCCTCACTCCTGTGCTCTGAACCCTGATCAATATGCAGGGAACACGGCAAAAAGAAGAAGGGAAAAAGGGAAAAGCAACGGATGCCTTTGCAAGGCTTCTTGTGCATCACTTATCATGAGAGACCTGCTCTGGGAACAAAGCCCCTTCCCACTGCCAAGGGAATGGCTGCTCCCAGCTGCCCAGGACAGCAGGGGCAGAACGGGGCTGACTCCTGTGACAAACCTCCGGCTGCGCCAGGAATACCAGGAATTGTCAACATAAATCGTTATCAGCACTAACGCCAGGCAGCAATTAACCTTGTCAGTCAGCAGCTCACCCTTTACTGACTGTGACCCACCGCCTCGAAGCTGCCAATCACCTGCGAATGAATAATTAATGAGACAACAGATTCCACTCACAAAACAGCAGTTCGGTTCCCTTTGAGCATCAATTAA